TCAGGACTTTAACCTTATCCTCATGGTTAAACAAATTTTCATTTATTCTCCAAGATTTCCTTTTTTTTGATGGCCAATCTCTATCCATACCATACTATGGTCAGTCAAAGTTCTAGGGAAAATTTTAGTTTTGTTACAGTCAGTAAGCAAATCAGTCGATGTCAAAACAAAATCAATCCTTGAGAAAGACTCATGTCTATGAGAGAAAAAGGTAAAGTCACGTTCATTCATATGTTGTGATCTCCAAACAGCCGCCAACTCCAAATCTTCCATCATTGCAAAAAAAGATTTAGGGAGTCTGGAAAGGGCCACATCCCTAGAAGTTGTCTTTTTATCTTTTGAAGTATCAAGTACCCCATTCCAGTCCCCCATAACAATCAAAGAATTATAATCCATAGCCACAATTTTCTGATGTAGTTGTCTATAAAATTGTTTTTGAGATGACAGTTGATTAGGAGCATAAACCCCCACTATTAAGCACTTTCTTCCATTTAAATTTATTTCCACAAATAAAAAACTTCCTTCTTTGTCAGCTTCTTTTAAGATAGGTGAAAGATGTTTCTTTATATATAATGCAACCCCAGCTTTTTTTCTAAGAGCAGGTGCAGTAAACAAATCTCCAAGCTTAAAATTTAACAATAGTTTTTGATCTTTAGCCACAATATGAGTCTCTTGTAGACATATGATATCATTATTAAAATGTCTTAAATAATGAAAAACCTTGCATCTTTTGTGGGGTGAATTAAGCCCCCCCACATTCCAAGATGAAATTTTAAACATTAGCTGATTTCAGTCCTATAGCGATACTTGAAGCATAAGACTTGACAAAAACCTTAGATCGAGCGCCACCTACTGGCTCAGAAGTAGCAGGTGGCGGGCTATCAGCTGTTGGGCGGGCTGTCAGTTGTTCTTTCTCCTTACGTCTGTGAGCTGCACGAGTCATTCTTTGTTCTTTTCCATCATCTTTAAAATGCCCGTTTGCATCCTTAGCACCGGAAGTAAAAGGGAGGTCCACAATCAAATGCTCAGCTGCATCAGTCTTTTGAGATGTGTGTGGACACTCTGCTTGCAACACANCTATAGCGATACTTGAAGCATAAGACTTGACAAAAACCTTAGATCGAGCGCCACCTACTGGCTCAGAAGTAGCAGGTGGCGAGCTATCAGCTGTTGGGCGGGCTGTCAGTTGTTCTTTCTCCTTACGTCTGTGAGCTGCACGAGTCATTCTTTGTTCTTTTCCATCATCTTTAAAACGCCCGTTTGCATCCTTAGCACCAGAAGTAGAAGGGAGGTCCACAATCAAATGCTCAGCTGCATGCAGATATTCTTGTTTATGGTTAATAGATCAATTTCTTCTGTTATGAGATGTAGGGAAGTCAAGAAGTGCTAGTTTTAGAACTATAGAATATTTCTATTTACCTCTTGAATCTATAACAAACTAATGATTTTAGGGCAACTTCTTCCTAATTGTTTATCTGCTTCCTAACAATGGAAATGTTTACGATTGTAATGGACAACATTGTTAGAAAATAGTGGGTATTTCCTATAATTTTAGGAAATTGAAGTATATGTTAGTCTAATTTACATTTAATGATAAACCAGGTTTTTTGTAGTTTTAATTTATTTGAATATTTGAACTCACTTCGGACAACAAACTGTAGTGTAGTTCTGGCAAAATATCACTGTTTGAAACTGAGGTTTGATGCACCAATCAAGTCTTTTATTATAAGTTGTTTTCTGAAGCTGGTTCATGACTCGTTTCTGATTTGTGGGATGCTCAAGCCTCTTGGCAGTCAATTGAGATATAAGCCAAAACATCTAAAAAGGCTGAACTGTGCTCTCTGACTCTTCCTCTAAGAATTTTTTCCCCCTTGCTCTGCTCCTCTTTGAGTACAACGAAGAGGCAGGCCCCTAATTTCCAAATCTGAAGGCATATATGTATGTCTTGCCAAAGCTGAATAGAATGTCCAGTTTACAGAATGAAAAGTATAAATGCTAAAAAAATAATGAATATGGGATCCTCACCCCTCACACATAGTTGCAACAAATAAACTACAAAATTATCCCTCACAAACATACTTTTAGCAAAAAAAATCACAAATTCATGGAAGAATAAACCTTTAAAATGCAGACAAATTCACATTCCATTAAAAGTACTCAGAAACACAAATATCACGTTTCCCCCACTTCATAAATAAAAATGATGCACTATTGTCCTCATCTAAAATATACATGTGTGCAAAAATTACATTTTAGAAAACTTCCTACATATTTCTGTTTCTGGGGAAATAAAGGGACGTGTATTGCATTTTTCAGCAAACATAACTTGATATTTTGATATGTTTGGGTTATTTAGAAATTCTTGCTTTTGTACGTCTACAAAAACTAGATGAAAAATCAGAAATTGAGCTAAGAAGGCAGTAATTTTTTTCTTATCTGCAAACTTTACTATGACTTATTAAAAATATTTAATAAACTTTGCCTTAATAGTTTCTGTTCTAGGCAAATTTCAATTTTCTTTTTCTTTTTAATTCTCTTCCTTTTTCTTGCTGTTCATATAGGTCCTTCCACTTCTTTCTCCTTTTGTTCTAAATACAGAAGCAAATCAAAAACACCAGCAAATGAACAAAAAAAGCCTGCCGAGGTAAGGCTTTATATTTTGATTCATAGTGTTTTACTTTAATAATTTATTTACTAACATACCTCAATGTTTGCTGCTTCATATCCCAATCTTTTTTGTTTACTGCTGAATCTATATTAATATGAATGAACAACTAATTTATTATATTAGACTTATAATTTATAAAATTTATTTCAGGATACTAACAGTTATGTCAAACTAAATTAAAGACATTGGTTTATAGTTGCCGCAAAAAAATCATAAAATCGAGTCAGTCACGTGATCGACCCATTTTGTGATGGTTATGACTTATAACTTTAATGGGCAGGCTCCATTACAGTTGTAACTTGAGGAATATCTGCTAATTGTAAAGTTCTGGGATCAATTCAAAATTCTGGTCATAAGTAAATGGCAAAGCAGCAGGATAAATGGCACTGCCTTATCAAGATCAAATCTGTTTGTCCAGTAAGAATATTTTATGATGATGGCAAATCCTCTCCCATAGAAAAGCCACAGGGCTTTGGCAAGACAGCTGGCCTTGTCTGTAATGGCTTGCATGTTGTGGAACACTGTTCCTTTTGAGGTCTGTAGCACACCATTCCTTGTACAGCTACCAAAATAATTTTATTTCACTGTGCTTTGAATCTTGTTGGACACATATCTCCTTTGGACACATATCTCCATGCATTGTGTTGGGGTGGTTAATTATTTCCTGTTGAGTTTTGGTTTTATAATGTTTTTTTCTGGTTGTAGGCCGATTAAAGTCCTTAGATTGAGTCAAGTTATGAAAATGTAAATAAATATTAGTTGTATTTCTTCTACTAATGCAGAGATAGTAAAAAAAAACATTAATTTTGATGCCATGCTTGCTGTAAGCTTAATCATGTGGTTTGGAAGGCTTTTTTGTATAGTACATTAGTAATTTTATCATTAAATTAAAAAAATGAAATTTTAATTAATTATTTCTTTATCTCTTTATCTCTTACTATGCCTTCAGGTGTTTCGAAAGGACCTCATAAGTGCCATGAAACTGCCAGACTCTCATCATATTAACCCAGATGAATATTACTTGTTTGCGGATACCTGGAAACAAGAATGGGAAAAGGGTGTTCAAGTCCCTGCAAGCCCAGAAACTATTCCAAAACCTTCTCTCAGGTATTTTTTTTACATGTCTGCCTTACTAAAGCACATAATTTTGTCCTTCCATCCCAAAGAAATATTAACATACATCTTACTATCCCTTACTAAGGGATAGTATCAGCTGCAATATATTCCATTTTGTAGAAATAAATAACATGTATTGCTTCAATTATGCAGAAAATAATAAAAAATAAATGAAGACAGAATTGAAATTTTAATCCAGAGGGGAATGCCTGAGAAATGCTCTCTTATAAGCAGAACTGACTGTAGCAATTTGTACAGTTTACTTCAGCAGGTCTTTTTTGCAGTGATTTTTAGGTTCTGGTGCTTCCCCAAAAAAGTATCCTGTGAAATCTTTGGACTGTTAGCTCCCCTTTTTCCAAGCACCTTGTTACTGCATATGGCCTATGGATGTCTAGAAAACCATCTTTGTAACCAGTTTGTTCTGCAGTCATATCCAGAAAAACCTCTGAATGCTTATCTAATTCCATTTCATCTAGGCATGCCAGGGTAGTTCTATTTTGACAGATGACATCTTAACAGAATAACAATTCCAGATGTTAGGATATACCAAAACCAGATAATTACAATTGTTTATTTTATTACCTGTTATTGTTAGGGCATATAACTATTGTCCTTGTCATCAGACTCCTATTTCAAAGCTGATCTAATGTTTTTGTATATATTTAATGGCCATAATTCAAGGCATATTTTAGGAAGTACTTTACTGTTATTCAGTACTGATTTTGTTTATGTTTTTGTTTAAACATACTACTGTGGCACTGGTTTGGTGGTGGTTGAATGAACCAACAAATATTGGTGATCAAATACTGTAAGTTATCCATAGGTGATCCTTTAGTAAATAACAATATTATGAAAAATTTAAAATTGTTAACACTGTCCTTTGGCCTAAGGGTCCTGAAGAATGGAACACTTTGTCATTATTACTTGATTTTTAAGAATTCTTCCACCAGAGGATTTGTAGTTCACTATAATGTTTTGCTGCTTAGAATTGTAGCAGAAAAAGTAAAGCAAGTACTTTATACACGGCCCAGAAAGTACATCCATTGTTCAAGCCAAGAGTCTGCTGAACCTGGCTACATCAACATTCTAGAATTGGCAGAATCAATGTGTCGATATGACTTGGATGACATGGATATCTTCTGGCTTCAGGAAGTAAATGAGGAACTTGCTGAAATGGGTGAGAAACCAAAAGTAATAATCTGTTTAACATTTGATAATCTAACAAATGTTCTGAAATAAAATATACATACAATGATATTTGGTTCTATCATTCTTTCCCAGTATTATAGGTTTGTAAAATTTAAAAAAAAATACTGGATAACTTCTGGTCTATTGAGTCATCCTTTCAGAGATATTTTCTTACCAGATTCCTCAATGCTTTCAGTAATAACAAAACTTCTGTTGTACTGCCTCATTGGAAAAGTTGGGATACATTCGGAGATGTATCTGTCTTGAAAATAATCCACGTTGAATTGTATAGCACAGTGATGGCGAACCTTTTAGAGACCGAGTGCCCAAACTGCAACCCAAAACCCACTTATGTATCACCGGGTGCTGGGTGGGCGTGGCCCACTGGGTCGACGTGACTACGGTAGTCACGGCAAGACTGGGTGGGCGTGGCCAGGGTGGGTGTGGCCACCTCGATGTTGCTCCTGGGGAGGGATGCCTGTTGGGGCCAGGCAGGGTTGGGGGAGATCCAGGAGGTCTCTGGCGGGTGGGACAGTGGGCAGGAGGCTCATTATGCAGGGTGAGGCAAGGGGGGGCAGGGCAGGGGTTACGGTTAGGCCGCTGCTGCTTTTCCCCCCAGGACAGAGCACCCCGCCGCTGCTCACACCCAGTGGCGAAGGTGGGAGGCAGCGGCAGGGTGTAGCCCAGGTGTGGCTCAGCAGCAGTAGCAAAGCTCGTCCTCCCCACTCAAGCGACCACCAGCGGCTTGGCTCCATCCGAGTTGAAGAAAACGGAGGCGCAGCAGCGGGATTGCTCTCAAGGTGGGCGCACACGAGCGAGTAACGCACCCGGCTCTTATTGTTTGAGAGCAATTCCGCTGCTGTGCCTCCGCTTTCAACTCGGACGGAGCCGAGGTACCCAAGCTGCTGCACCGGCTGCCTCCCCCCCCAAGCAGCCATGATTCCCCCTCCCCAGCCAGCCAGCCACCATCCCCTGACCTACTCCTTGCCTGACCGGCCAACTGGCACAAAACCTCACCACTCTTCTCCTCGGCGGTGGCAGCCTAATGGACCTGAGCAAGCTGCTGGCGGGGCCGGCCTGAGGCATGGGGGATAAGGAGAATTTTCGCTGCCAGACTCTTTAACTTCTTAAAAGTTTACTTGATGCAGAATGCATATCCTTCCCTTTCTGCATCAAGTTAAACAGTCTGGTAGCGAAAATCCATTAGGCTGCCGCTGCCACCTGGACACCTGACCTGCCCAGCACAAAGGAAGCAAAACGGCCGGCTAGCAAGCCCTGCATAGAGGTGGTAGAGCACACCCACGCCCAGCAAGCCAAAGGCTATCCCGAGCGGGGAAAGCCGGATCCCCATTGGCGCCATGGCCCCCCAGTCCCAGCCAGGATTGCGTGTTCCCTTGTTTCTGCTGGGCATGGGCGGCCATGACATCGATGGGGATCCGGCTTTCCCCGCTCGGGGTGGCCTTTTGCCTGCTGGGCGTGGGCGTGCACCTCTACGTGGGGCTTGCTAGCCGGCTGCTTCGCCTGGGCGACGGCAGCCTGATGGACCTGTGCGAGCTGCTGGCAGCAGTAGCTGTGCCCGTGCCCACAGAAATGGCTCTGATTGCCTCCTATGGCACACGTGCCACAGGTTCACCACCACATCCAAACAGAAGAAGAAATGGTTTATGACATTTTGTGTCTGTCATAAACTATTGTATGATAATTTTTAGAACATAACATAATTTATAAAATTTGTCAGTTCCGCAGGAGTCATGGGTCCCAGATTTTGGACACATTCTGTAAGTTAGCCCATATGAAGTACCTTAGTTGAAAATATTTATTCTGTGATGAACGATTTCACCCAGTTAATAGTTACAGAAAAGATAGTTTAGTAATATATAGGTCTACAATTTGTTTTATACATAAAGATATTAATATGAATTGTAAAATCATGGTAAGTGCTACTAAAAATATACAGGCAATCCCCAAGTTACGAGCGTTCACTTAACGCTCGTTCAAAGTTATGTGATGAGCACCCCCTAGTGCTTGCAAGCAAGTCCTGAAGTTACGAATATTGCAGCACCACGGCAGTCATTTGCCCTTACGAGCGACCGCAGTAGCTCTGCAACATTCACCCTGGTTATTCCCTCCCCACCCCCGTCCCGGGTCTCTTAGGCACCAGGCCTTTAATACTCACCCCACAAAGATCGAGATCCTTTGCTTTCTTGGCTGCTCCAGGCCTTTGGCTGGTTCATATAGAATGGAGGCCTAAAGTAATGCAACATCATGCGAGAACAGTGGGGTGAGATTTCACGCTACTGATCTTGCGTGATTTCATGGTACTTTAGGCCTCTGTTTCTCTGCAGCAGAGAATGGAACCGAGGCTGGGGGACACTTCCAAGTACCTCCGGAGGCTGGATTGGGGCTCTGGAGGCCTTTTCTAGGCCGCTGCAGCCCGGATCTGAGGCTGGGAGATGCTTCCGCGCCCCTTCAGCGCGATCCGGGCTCCAGAGGCCTCTTCCAGGCTGCTGCCACCCGGATTTGAGACTGGGGAACACTTCCACGCCCCCTCTGAGGCCCTATCTGGGCTCCGGAGGCCTTTTCCAGGCCACTGCTGCCCGGATTTGAGGCTGGTGAATGCTTCCGCAGCTTTCCTGCGGCCCGATCGAACCTGGAAAATGCCTTCGGAGGCTGGATTGGGCTGCGGCGGGTTGTGGAAGCATTCCCCGGCCTTAGATCCAGGTGGCAGTGGCCTGGAAAAGGCCTCCAGAGCCTGGATCGGGCCACAAGGGGGATGCGGAAGTGTCTCCTGGCCTCAGATCTGGGTGGCAGCAGGAACCACAGCAGAGAGGAGATGGATCTTTTCCAGGTGAGTCCAGTGCGGCAGGAAGGGAGGGGTATCTTAGTGGGTTGGGGAGGCCTTGGGAGCCTGTTCCATCACTAGATCCTCCATGGCCTTCCCCACCCTGAGATACCTCATGTTCGCTTAATGAGCCACGTGCGTTTTAACGAGCAAGGGAGTAATTTCGTTCAAGATACGATATTCACTCTATGAGTTTTCGAGTTACAAGTTGAGTGGGCAGGCTCCATTACAGGTAGTCCTGTATCAGCTAGCTTAAAATTAGTGGCATCCAGTAGAGTACATCATAATTCTTAGCAATCATGTGCTTAACAGCTTATTTCATTAGTTTGAATTATACAAACTGATGTAGTAATGGTTCTGATTCTTGCATCTGTTAGTGACAAGTTATTTTAAAGACATTGCCTCCTGACTAGAGCTGTATTCACCTGCATTTATATCTGTCACAAACGGCCCTTTTCCTCCATTCCTAATTGGACAGGCTATAGTAACAAGGTTTTTGGGACTCAAGGCAGTGTTATAAGGCACAATAAGATTTGTATATGAGAGTCATCTGTCTTTATAAAACCAGAATGTAAGCTTGCTGAACACTTTTTTTAAAGTGGAGTTTAGAAAATACCTACTAAATGTAGATTGGGTTAATTTGAACTATTATTTTATTATTATTTACATGAAGTTTCTTAGTTTATTGATAGGAGGCTTAGAACAATGAATTATCTCTTATCAGGTCAGGATTACAAATCAAAAAAGAAAGAAATATGAATATTATGTAATTTTTGGAGGAAGGTATTTGGCCCAAGATAGAACAACTTTGTTTTCTACCTCCTTTTTTTTTTGAAAAAAATCTTGCCCTAATATCTTATCTTCTTCATTATTCTTGGCATTGTGATTTTTCACCTTTCTTCCCATGGTTATGGTGGACAACAACTAATTCTACAAACAAAAAACACTCTGATAAGCCAAGTTAAAGTGAAATCAGCATCATGTGTGATGCTAAATGGAAATTATACTTGGAGAATGAAAGATTTGAAGAGACATAATTGGGGCACTATTCAGTGTAGCAATTTTAATGGTTATTTTTACCATTCGGCAGGATATGGACAGCTTGATGAAAATACCATGGAGAAATTGGTAGAAGTCCTGGAACGTCACTGTCATGAGAATATGAACCATGCCATTGAAACAGAGGAAGGGCTTGGTATAGAATATGATGAAGATGTAATCTGTGATGTATGCCGATCTCCTGATAGTGAAGATGGAAATGATATGGTGTTTTGTGATAAATGTAACATCTGTGTGCATCAGGTTTGTTAGGTTTAATTCTTTGCCAATATGAATGCAACATTCAGCCTTTTCTTAAGAGTAAGGATTTTTAAGTGTTTTTTTAAATATGCTAAGAATAAGGAAATGAAATTTTGTTAGGAAATGAAATTTTGTTATGTAATCAGATTACTATTAAGTATAATAGAATGGTACACTATAAGCTCTGTTGTATCAGTAGTTTTGGATAGTTAGTGGTAACACTAGCAGAACATTGTGTCAATAATATATAGAAAATATTACTGAGTACCAAAATGTACTCTGATGAAACATGCCATTTGGAAATATCCCTGATAGAGTACAAAAGAAAATAATAGCAATAAAAGGAGAAGACTCCAGAGTTCCAAAATTTATCATAGAAAATATAAACATTATTATGAAACAAACGGAAAATGTGAACAACAGCATGAACGAAGTGAATGAAAACTTACAGTAAATCATTGTTGTAAATTGTCATAAAAGAAGGGATGTTACGACAAAATTTTAGAACTAGGGGAAGAATCACATTTTAAACAAAAGTGAAAATATTCAAAAATGTGTCATAAGTCAGGAGAAAAAATTGAAATGCAAAGAAAAATTGATAGGTGATAGACATAGTGAAACTGAAATATTGGAAGCTAAATATATGCATTAAAAAGAAATGAAATTACAGTATACACAAACTATGAATATATTACATACCTGGAAATATACCTGGAACAACTTTTTGTATTGTATTGTATTGTATTTGTTTGTTTAGCTGATTTATATAGGTTACATTTGGGACATTTTACAATAAAATAGATAAAACACATATAATTAAAAAAATAGAAACCCATAGCAGCTGCCATTAACATAACCAGAACCAGCTCCCTCTTGGGACTCCACATTGAGACACAGACCCAACTTTTCAAAGCCTTACAAAAGGCAGGCACTATAGCAGAAAAGGCTTGCCTGGTCTCCACCAGCTGTTATTCCTCAGCTGCTGGTATCCAGAGCATGCTCTTTGTCAGATTGAGTAAGTAACCCGGTCCCAAGCCATACAGGTCTTTAAACATAACTACCAGCACCTTGACCTGTACCTGGGCACACTGGAAGCCAATTCAGTTGTGGTACATTTGTTGAATAACTGGCACCATTAACAAGGACAGCCCCATATAGAGCATGTTGCAGTAGTATGGTACAGTCCCCCACTACATCATGATATTATAATTATATAAACATGGATATACCTTTCATGTACAATATATAGTGGAGTAAATGTAAACAATTTAAAGAATAAAAGGCGTAGGATCTGATTATTCTGTATATGTAAAAATATTGAATATTTATTCAATTTATATGCCACCTATCTCACTATAGAGTGGCTCAATAAGATTGCAAATTAATAAAATTGTGATAGACACTTTAAAAATTCAACGTATTGTACAATACATGAACTATGGATGAGTAGCTAATATCTATGTTTGCTATTCTGTCTAAAACAAACAGCATAAAGATGTAATGAATCTCTATGATAACTTTGGTGAGTCATGTTTTTAAAATGTTCTTCCAAACATAAACGAGAGGATTTTTCAGAAATGTGAAACTATTTTGAGCATAGCATAACTTGGATATAGGAATGTATTAGGTAGCAGGAATGTTCTTTTAAGGATATAAAAACTAGTAAAACATTGTAGAGATATGAAAGTGGATTTTTATGTATATTGAGGATTGTATGAAATACATTATATTTAGTGGCATTAAATATATTGAAAAATGCAGGGTTGGTGGTAGAAACATATGCATCATTATGAATTTATACTAGAAACAGCAGCTTTTAAAGTTGAAGAAAAAGAAGAAAATTATTTCAGATATTATGTGTGGTAAGAATGTGCATTACCATTGTTGATCTTTAAATTCAGTACATTCTGAAGTTATTTTCAAAAACTCTTCAGAAGCATGCCAAGAAATACAGTAATAATTTATTCAGATATTGTTTTATTAGTAAATATTGAGCAGTGTTTGCAAATGTTAATCAAATTTTGTGAAGAAAATAAATTTTCAGAAGAAAATAAAAGTAATTATCATAAATAAAATCTCTGAACTAAGTATTACTGTACTGTATGCATATATGAAAGCACATACAGAGGGTACAATGTATAAAATATAAAGATCACCATCCTAGCAAAAAAAACCTACATCCATGGTTTGGCAAAAGTACAGTTTTTGGACAATAACATCAAATAACAAACAGCATTGATTATTGCTGACTGTTTCAGCAGGAGATGGGACTAAAAGAAGTAAAAGTGATAAAGCATGCAAATCCAACTTTCAGTTACATCAATAGAACTGCTGGTTTCAATCACTGGAAGTAATAATTTCATCTTTGTGCAAATTACCTCAGTTTAGGTGCAGTCTACAGTTCAGGTCAACATATGGGGGAAAAGAAGTATTAAACTTGAGTTAAATGGCTGTTCCTCACATCCTTGGGAATATACTTTTTTCTATCCTTGAATGGGTGGAAAGTATGCTGATACAGAAACATCGTATCTTAATATTCCCCACAACTTAACTTTTGCTGCACCTTCGACTGGATGGTCCACCGAGTTCAAAATTCTTTCCCTGTCATATAGCGTCCTTACATTGTCTGTCCACCAATCACATTCTAGAATGTATGGCAGAGGAATGTACAAATGTTCATTTGCCATTTGCCCTATTTTACTATTAGTCACTCACTACATTAGCAATGCTACTTTTAAAAAGCATTACATGATTTCCAGGCCCCAGGAGAAGGGTCAAGTGAAAAGAGTCACAGAAGGCATTATCTGGAAATCAGCAGTAGAGTACTTCTCTGTCTTGCTTTAGCTCTTGCCAGAAGTTGAGATCTGAACAGCAGTTATTTCTTCCTGTGAATGTCAGGCAAGGTGAGTACAGTCCCCAACTGGGTCAGACGTAAAAAGACAAGATTTTGTCTTTTTAGTATTGGGGAGAAGTCTCTGAATGCCTCTTCTACATATGTGCTTTGGGAAATAATCCAGGATTTCTGAATAGATGTGCCTGGATTTGTACTGTCTATATTGATGGGCATTCAGATCTTGAATGCAGCCAATGTAATGGTTAATCTTGCGCTTATCATAGAGGGAAGAGAAGAGTATTTCTGAATGCGTCTTGGCTGAACATATGTCTGCATTCATGTGGAGGCTGGGCAGCCATCTCTTGGAGAAAGTTTAAATTAATTCTTACATTGAATAAGGAATTAGATTTCCAAGTCTGATTTTATTAATATTTTTAAGAATTCATAAAGTTATTAAAGTTATCTTTTGAAAGGTCTATGAACAATGGGAAAGAAATAAGACAGAAAGCAATGAGTTTCTAAACTTCATAGAATGATCCTGGTTAATAATACTAGAACACTCATGAAAAGAGTTCATTTTTTAAATTTATGCTTGGCCAAGAGTGCCCACTAGTGGATAAAAGTAGAACATTTCAGATGCAATTACCTGTATACAGTCTTTTTGAAATTCTTTACTCCTAAGATCAATTAGAGCAGAAGTTCCCAACCCCTGGGCCGCGCCAGCAGCGGATGAGTGTGCGTACATGTGCAGCCCCACTCAATGAGCAGAGGGTGCTCACACAAAGCTGTGCACGGATGCCTGCCCCTTGCACAAAACCATCCCTCTCTCTCGTGCTGGGCCGTCAACCCAAAAAGGTTGGGGAACGCTGAATTACAGCACTTTCCCAGGTTATTTTATAAATGGTGTAAAAATTTAAAAATCATCCATAGGTACCATAAAAAAGTCCTTTCCTAAATCAATAATACTTACGAAAGGAATCATTCATTTATATTTGTAGTCTATTCCTTGTTTGTATGTATTTATATTGAAAAAAGGGACTGGTAGTGAAGAAAGTTGGTACCCAAGTTCCATTCTGAGAAGCCACACCTATGCCCTTTATGGATATTTCATTTTTATCACTAAGAATAAAATATAATTTATTAATGAAAAAGTGATTTTTTTCTGATCATTGTGTTTCTGCTTTGAAAATAAGTGTGTAAAAATATGCCGTGGTTAAAACGGATAAAGGTAAATAATATAAAGTATACTTCTTTCTTATAGAAAACAGTGTTTTCTTTTTTATCTCCAGGCATGCTATGGCATCCTAAAAGTTCCTGAGGGGAGTTGGCTTTGCCGTACTTGTGTTTTAGGTATACATCCTCAGTGTCTCTTGTGTCCAAAGAGGGGTGGAGCTATGAAAGCTACAAGAACGGGTACTAAGTGGGCACATGTGAGTTGTGCTCTCTGGATTCCAGAGGTATGAATATACTAATTACATGCCGTCTTTTCATCTACGCTGTTTATATGTAAGGAAAAGATTCTGTGATACAAGAAGCATAGTTTAACAACAACAACAACAACAATAATATGATGATGATGATAATATTGGAAGGGATCTTGGAGGTCATCTAGTCCATCCCCCTACTCAGGCAGGAAACCCTATACCATTTCAGACAAATGGCTGTTCAGTCTCTTCTTAAAAACTTCCAGTGTTGGAGCATTCACAGTTTCTGGAGTCAGGTTGTTCCACTGATTAATTGTTCAAACTGTCAGGAAATTTCTCCTTAGTTCTAGGTTGCTTCTCTCTTTGGTTAGTTTCTATCCGTTGCTTCTTGTCCTGCCTCCAGGTGTTTTGGAGAATAGCTTGACTCCCTCTTCTTTGTGGCAACTCCTGAGATATTGGAACACTGCTATCATGTCACTCCTAGTCCTTCTCTTCATTAAATTAGACATACCCAATTCCAGCAACCGTTCCTTATATGTTTTAGCCTCCAGTCCCCTAATCATCTTTGTTGCTCTTCTCTGTACTCTTTCTAGAGTCTCAACATGTTTTTTACATTGTTGTAACCAAAACTGGATGCAGTATTCCAAGTGTGGCCTTACCAAGGCATTGTAAAGTAATATTAACACTTCATGTGATCTTGATTCTGTCCCTCTGTTAATGCAGCCTAGCACTGTGTTGGCTTTTTTGGCAGCTGCAGCACACTGCTGGCTCATATTTAAGTGATTGTCCACTAGGACTCTGAGATCCCTCTCACAGTTACTACTATTGAGCAAGGTGCCACCTATACTGTACCTGTGCATTTGGTTTTTCTTGTCTAAATGTAGAACCTTACTTTTTTCACCATTGAATTTCATTTTGTTAGATAGTGCCCAATGTTCAAGATCCTCTGTATCTTAAGCCTATCTTCTGGAGTTTTGGTTATTCCTGCAAGCTTGGTGTCTGGGTGGCCCGCTCGCCCTCGGCCATGCCGCTCCATGCCGTGGCGCTTCTGCGTCGTGATCGGCCACCTCAGCAGAAGCAGCAGCAACAGGAGCCGCAGCGCCCGCCTCCTCGCCGCCCTCCTGCCCCGCACCTCACTCCACGTGGCCCACCCCTCCTCCGCCAGCACCCGGCCTCGTCGCCCCACCCCGCCGGACCCCGGCCTCGGCGCCAGCATGGACAGACCCGCCACCTGGAGACGGATAGAGGAGCGGTGTCTCGGTTCCTAAGACCATCGGAAATATGTGTTTTCCGATGGTCTTAGGCGACCCCTGTGAAAGGGTCATTCGACCCCCAAAGGGGTCGCGACCCACAGGTTGAGAACCGCTGCTCTAACTAGTTTAGGTGAGTGCTGTGTGAAGCTCTCACCTCTCACCTCTTTCTTCCCAACTCATCTTTATTTTAACTTCCAACTAATCTTTACTTTAACTTCTAAATAATACTTTGCTATCCTCTCTATTTTATCTTGAGTATTTCCCAACTAATATAAATAATATCAAAACATTTTTGTTGCAAACAGCAACCAACTTATGAGTGTTATAAACTGAATTATTCCATTGTCATATCTTCTCAAGTTATAAGAATCTTTTAAATCTCACAGCTTGTTAGTTATTAATTCACTATGAAGCATTATTTAGGTTTATTAAGACTGTTTAATCTCTGGAGTATAAAAATAATCTGTTTTCCTTGTGATTGAAATCCAATTGGCATGAAAGTGACCTCCCCATTTATCTTATTTTTCTTTTGAGTAATTCTTCTATTAGAGATTTGAAGGCCTTTGTTCTTTGTAGTGTGACAAGACTGTTATCTTGGAAAAATAACAGTTTATTTCCATTGTAATTTATCTTTTTTAGTCCTCAAGCTTTTTTCTTTTACCTTATTACAACTCTTACAATTATATTTCTTGATTTTTGTAATTTGATTGGACTTGTGAGAGAATATGGGGCATTTTCTTCTTTCTCCATCACCATTTCTTTACTACTTTACTACTAGTTCAGGGTGCTGACTCAGCTGTCTTTGATTCATAGCTTTAATTCCTTTACCATGTTGAGGATGGCCCTCCTTAGACATCTTTTTTATTATTAATGTGCCCAGTTAGTTGGACTTTAATTAAATGTAACTGGCAGACATCAGCAAAAAGCTGGGTCAGGATGAGTGCAATTGGTTCACCTTAAGGTCTTCTCCAGGGGCTAGCCACACCCAACCAACCTAGTATTTTGTTGGACACATGTGATGCTCAAAACCTCAACTTCCTTTATAAGCCATGGTACACCCAGTGAGCCATAGTGATGAAAATCTGAAGTGCAGGTGATATCATGATACAAATCCCATCCTTGGATATCCTTTCCTTTCAATTTGATGCTAGTATGGAAATAGTGCTATTTGTATCATGATTATTATTCCATCAGTTCCCTCTTGTGGCTGTTTATATAATATTTATTAATCAGTTCTATTCAGAGCAAAAAAGCTATAGTATTTTATTATATTTTTACTGTATTAGCTATCCTAAGAACCTTGTCAGAAATTAATTAATTTCATTTTAATTTATTAGTATTTTCAGCCTCCATTTATAAACTTATCCCAGTACCTTTACTACTGTGGCTTAAATGTTTTGCTTGTTTTGCAAAATGCTAAAGTAGAAAAATATAGTAGTTTTGGATGTTTTCCATTGTAGGTAAGCATTGCTTGTCCAGAAAGGATGGAACCGATTACAAAAGTGTCTCACATTCCTCCAAGTAGATGGGCTTTAGTTTGCAGTTTATGCAAAGTGAAAACTGGTGCTTGTATCCAGGTATGTGCTGATTTCTATGCTGTAATCCTTGAGCTTAAAGAATTGAAATGGTTCACTAGCAAGCATATCTCATTCTGATTGGTATCAATATATTTCTCATAATATGAGGAAATAATACAGATTTAGCAGCCGCTTTGTTCTTTGGGAAAAGAAAGTGGACATTAAACAAGTTAGTTAGGCATTCGTAGGATTATGGAGGGTTTCCAATTTGATAGGGAAAAAAGAGATTTGGCATGTGTGTGGGTGCATATGTTCACTGTTGGTACATGGTTTTTTCTGGGAGTTGTGGGTCACATACAGAAAAACATGCAATTTCTTTAAGGAGATAATTTGCTTAAAAGTTCTGTTCAAATCTTGAACTGTTACTAACTCTTTGTGTGTCAGGAAGCGATTAATTGTTTAGAGCGATCTAGTTTTGGGGGGCAATTTAGGAGGAACTCCAGAAGTGGTCAAGTGCATTACCGGAAGCAGTGTTTCTTGATTTTTTTCTGTGATAGGAGGCATGGGCCACTATAATTATGAAAGCTTTATTAAGAGGATTTTCAGTGTCTGTTCTGTTGATGCTTGATTTGTTTTCATTCAACAGTGCTCTGTGAAGAGCTGTATCACTGCCTTTCATGTCACATGTGCCTTTGAGCATAGCTTAGAAATGAAAACAATCCTGGATGATGGTGATGAAGTCAAGTTCAAGTCATATTGTCTAAAGCATAGCAAAACCAAGCAAAATTTGATACTTGATACAGAGAACCTCAAGAGCACAGTAGACCAGAAGCAAACTGAGAGTGAGAAAACCAGTTTGCGTGCTCAGAAACTTCAAGAACTGGAGGAAGAGTTCTATTCACTTGTGAGAATAGATGATGTTGCAGCAGAACTGGGGCTTCCGAAGCTCACTGTGGACTTGACCTTTAATTACTGGAAATTAAAAAGGAAGAGTAACTTTAATAAACCATTATTTCCTCCCAAGGAGGATGAAGAAAATGGCTTGATTCAGCCAAAAGAAGATAGCATTCATACTCGAATGAGGATGTTTATGCATTTGAGACAGGATTTAGAGAGGGTAAGTAGTTGATGCTTTTATAAAGGAAGCTGTTGCAATAAGAAAAAAAATCTGTACTGGAGAATGAGGGATAGAGTAATAATTAAAATGGAAGATACTTTAAGAAAATCTTAAAGGTTGGGAAAAACTGCATCATTGATGAGATTTTTACTTCCCTTTTAACTCTCATTTTAGAAACTGCCTCCAATAAACAGGGAAGGGACTAATCTGGTTCTCAAACATGGCCACTGATAATCTTTTTATTGTGGACATTTAAAGTATCCAAAAGAATGATTTGTGAATGGATAGTAAAATGGGACTAGAGTTATAAAGAGGAATATTTTGAAAAATTGGAGTAATTTAAATGGATTATAAAGAAAGTACTCAGGAGAACATAAGACTATACAATATTAACTGCAAGATAAACTGCAAAGTTCATAAATGAAAGTTATCTTCCTGAGATCCTATATTCCTCTGTAACCAGATGGGTGTCTATTTTTGATTCCTGAAAATCAAAAGAGATTATTGTCAGGTGAAGCAATTACTTTTGTGCATGGTTAATTACAATTTGAGTTCTAAAAAGAATTGTTTTAAACAAAGATACTTAAATATAATTTGAATCTTTAGATTCCATTTTGGTAAATAATTTTAAGTATACAGATATAAATCTCTTGTCAAGGAATTTATCCTTAATGGTTTAAAAAAATATTTTGCAAGCTTTTTCAGGTGCTTGATTTTGTGTTTTCTGTAGGTAAGGAATCTTTGCTACATGGTAAGCAGAAGAGAAAAAATAAAACTTTCTCATAGCAAAGCACATGAACAGATCTTCAATTTACAAGTCCAACTTATTAATCAGGAAATTGCTGCAGGTAATGAATGCATAACAGACATTTTCTATATATTCATATCTCTCTCAACCTTTGAAAACCCTACGTTCACTGGACAGTAATCTTAAAATTCCTTTTCATGAGTTATATAATACTTATATGCTATAGTTCAATTTATGTAATTGTTTGTATTACATTCACTGTGCAAATAATTCTGGATAACAATAGAATATACTAGAATGTGGGAATAGACATCTGGTGAAGCTTTGTTTCAGAGAGAATCTGTCTAGAATTGCACATCAGATATGGAATCATCCCTTTTCTCTGTATCCTACCTTCTATTGTTTTACGAGGCCTGGCCCCAATTATTCCTTCAAATTAATATTTTTATTGAAAGGTTATCCAAATCTATATTCTTCTTTTGCAAAATTACCCCCAGGTATGTCTAGTTTAATGAAGAGAATGATTAGGGGTGACATGATAGCAATGTTCCAATATCTCAGGGGTTGCCACAAAGAAGAGGGAGTCAAGCTATTCTCCAAAGCACCTGAAGGCAGGACATGAAGCAACGGATGGAAACTAATCAGAGAGAGAAGCAAGAAATAAGGAGAAATTTCCTGACAGAACAATTAATCAGTGGAACAACCTGCCTCCAGAAACTGTGAATGCTCCAACACTAAAAAAATTTAAGAAGAGACTGGACGACTATTTGTCTGAAATAGTATAGGGTTTCCTGCCTGAGCAGGGGGTTGGACTAGAAGACCTCAAAGGTCCCTTCCAATACTTCTACTACTACTATTACTACTACTATTACAATTATTATTATTTATAGTGGAGCAAAAAGATCTTGGTCAGATCAGTCCTTGATATCCCTGAGGCTCTTTTACATCACCCCCATTCAAGCAGTCTGCCTTGGAGACTGCTGGATTTGGATAACCTCAAGATGTTCCTCAATAAAAGAAGACAATTATACAAAACTGATATTAAAAATGAAACAAGATCTTGAGACTTGGGGGAACCTCCAGTTATCACTATTAGGCAGAATCGCATTGATTAAAATGAATATTCTACCAAGATTATTGTATTTATTTCAAACAATCCCAATAAAATTAGAGAAAC